GGAGTGACATCAGAAAGGAAGGACAATGTTTTCTTCAAAGAAGAAACAGAGAGGGTTACTTCTGCCGGTGGTGGTGAAAGATAACTACACTGATGTCTTGGTCACTTTTCTTGTTGCTAGGAAAAGTGCCCGACACCCACAACGTAAAGAAGGAAAGCTTTATTTCGGCTCCTGTTTCGGAAGTTCCCGTCCACACAGAAAGGGCGGCAGGGGGTCCCCGGGCCTAGAAGCGAAGAGGACGGAAGTAACCGAGCAGGCTTCACCCCCTCCCGCTTCCCCTTGCAGCCACGCCCAGCGACCCACTTGTCTCTCCAGACTGGACCCCACTGCCCACTAGCAAGTCGGCTGTACCCCGTAATCCAGACACTGATGAGTCCCACTTAGAGTGGCGTGCGGCTTTTCTAGGTACAACCAGAGACCTGAGCCTGACCGCTGGTGGGGATCAGGCTGGCATTTTCACACTCTTTAGAAACCAGCATTTTTCTGATGGGCTCTGAAACCCCTCGCCCCACATCAGGCATGCGGCTCCTCAACTTCACAAATACCGCACCAAAGCTAATCAATCTGATTAGGATGTGCGAAGAGGAAATGAGAAATGGTCCCTTGAAAAAAATGGAAGAGGAGAAACGCATGGGGTGGTGGCGTGGGGTTCCGGGCTCCGTGGTGTCCCTGACCTACGCCCTGGAGGCAAGAACCAGCGAAGTCCTTCTCACAGACTGGCGCCAAATAAGTCGATTAGATAACGCACTTCTTGCGGGTGTCCAGCTGTCTCTGGCCCACATTACTGCGCCTTCATGTCTCTGGACAGAGCGTCCTCATCTGCTGAATACACTACATGGATAGCTGGAAAGGGCTGAGACGGGTCAAATGCAAATATTCCTCCCAAGAGCATTATGAGGTTTAACTTAGCTCCGCAGGAAGTAATCGCTAACACTGCCTCCCCTTCACAGATAAGCAGCCGAGGCCAAAGTCACGCAATGGGTGTTTGGTGGAGAGGTGTGGATGTTCGGCCCCTGAGGAGTCCACAGAAGGGATACAAACTCTAAGGGACTTTGTGTCTATTTTACTAACCAAGAAGGCAGTGGCCGTTTGATACAGCTCCCCACGTGTACCAGGTTTTCTCCTATTAATAGTGGTTATTTTGCACTGTCAAAAATATGCAATGGTATATGGAATCCCTTATGAGAATGTCACGCAATACAAGGGTTAAGTTTTATATTGAAATTGCTAATACCAGAGTTAAGCTTTATATTGAAATTACTAGAAAATCATAAGGTACTTTGTAAGATCTCTTAATTATTTATTAAGAAGCGGGTTTCACTATGTTGCCCAGGTGGGCCCAGAAATTGTGAGTTCTAGTGACTTTCCTGCCTCAGCCTCCTGAGTCACTAAGATTTCACCAAGCTTGGCTAATAGGATCAATTCTTCTTCAGGATCCTAAACCCATCGGTCTTTCAGTTCTGTTTAACTTTTAACAGTGCTCCTTTACAGATTCTAAAGTTTGGAACAGGATAAATCACAAACTTTACATCTGAATGTAAAATGTTCTCCTTGGGATTGCCTTAATTTTTGGAGGCTCCAATATGTCCAAGAATAAGCAAAAGAGAAGAAAGATTTGCATATAATGAATGCACTGCTGGGAATTTGCCTCCAGACTGGGGAGCCATAAACCTCAAACCAGTGGCTCCCATCAGATGCTGAAGTCTGTACAAAAATAATATGCATCTGTGCCCTGCAAAATAAAATGATAAGAAAGGTGTAGTCAGGGCCTGTGTGTGTTCTTTTGTGAATCAGTTGAGTGATACAGTGAAGAATAACAAACATCTGTGGAATTCCAGGGTAATGAATAAATAATATTTAAATATGGTACGCTAATCTGTTTTCTAGTGAACTAAAAAGACTATAGATGCTCTACTAGATATTTTATATTATATATGTAATATATATTAAATATTACATATTTAATATTATATATTTAATATACCTAGTGGAGCATCTATAGTCTTCTCAGTTCACTAGAAAACAGATTAGAGTACCATATTTAAATATTATTTATTTATTAGCCTGTAATTCCTTACAGGTCAGCAGATGTTTATTACTCTCCACTGTATCACTCAGAAAACCCAGCCCAGCTGTTACATATAGTAAGCGTTAAAGTACTGGGTAAGTGGATCACCAGCCAGCCAAATGAGTGAGTAATTCTACTGCCAGATTTTAAGCCTATGACGTATTTCCACTTAGGCAATGTGTGCTTTGAGCTAGAGCTGCCAGAGAAGGTCTGCTGAGCATCTTGTCTGACATCAAATTCACCTCTGTACCTTTATGGAGACAGAAAGTGTGTTTTCCAGCATTCTGGGACTCAGCTTATTTGGGGAGCTCCTCCTGATGTGGAGGGGCTGGGTGGGGTGAGCAGACGTTCCAGCTGGTTGTCGAGTCACCCACTGTGCCACTTACAGCTGAGCCACCCTGACCCCAGCCTTCCTGAGCTCTGAGCTCAGCAGGCTGAGCCTGTTGAGTCCTCAGGTGGGAGAATCCCTTGTCACAAGGATGCCAGGATCCCCCACACAGACACTGACAGAAGTGTCTCAAATCGTGCACAGGCTAACAGAGCTGGAGCGCTGGGATCTGGGCAGGCTTCCCTCAGTGAAGCCCTTTGAACTGTATAACCCTGTGTCATCATCAGCCCATGCGCCCCGAGGGATGCGAATGCCAACTGCTCCAAGGGGAAACAATGAGCATCACTAACACGAACTCACACCTAGGTTTGTGAAACCAAGGAGAAGAGGGCGAGTCCTGCAGGGGGCTTCCTGAGACCGGCAGAGTCTGCAGCAGAGATGGAGGCTGCTGAGCTTCCTGCCCTCTGCTCACCTGGGAGGCTTCCCGGGCGAGCTGTGTCTTCACTGGGATAAGGTGATGAGAAAATATCCTGGCTGCCACTCGACTTTCATCTATACCCTGATCCCGGGAGCCTTGCAAACACATGATTCTGTACAGTCAGATTTCCATCGCTGTGACCAAATACTCGTGATAAATTGGTGCCAAGGAGGAGAGGTTTACTTTGGGCCATGGTCTCAGAGGTTTCAGTCCAGATCACTCGGGCCTGGGGCAGCAGAGACATCACAGCAGGCGCGAGGGCGCAGGCCCGTCCACCTCACGGCAGCCGAGGCAAAGCAAGGGGAAGGAACGGGCGGGTCGCAATGTGCCCTTGGAGGTACCAGTGACAGAACTGCCTCCCGCCAGCCCCACCTGCCGCAGGTGCAGCACCTCCCACGGCGTCCGAGGCTGGGGCACCAGGGACTCCAGTTGCTCATGGTGGCAGCTGCAATGACAGAGTCTTCCCTTACTCTCTAAAACCAGCGACCGTGAACGACATTATCCATCAAGTAGGCGCCTTCTACAGCTGCGTCCCAGCTGCAGCCCCGTGAATGCCGTCCGCCTCGCGCTGCAGGCAGACATGGTTGATAACCAGTTTGCAATAGGTAAGACCTATTTGCTGCTCCTCTGAAAGACAACAAAACCACCCCTCTTGGCCAGGGTCTGCCTGCTCTTCCGCGCTGTAATTCTCGGGTGCTCCCTAACTCCACGGGCCGTCCTGGTACTCTATTTCACTTTTGAAACTTTTAAAAAATGGACTCCATTACGCAGCAAAGAGATTTTCTCTGTTTTATACACAATTCACCAGTTAAGTAAACAGCAGAGTCTCAATCAACCAACTCGTAAGTTAACATATTTTTGTAAAAATAAAGCTTTCCAGAGTTACGCATGAGTTTTAATAATCAAACACTTCAGTCTTTCCCATGAGGCCAGAAGAATCCTTCCAAAAGCTTCCGGTAAATCCAGGAAGCAAGGTCCTCCCCGTCCTGCCCGGGTCCACAGCCCCTGGACACGCACCACCGGGCGTCCCTGTCTTCCAGCCACCAGGCTTGCAGCCCGGACGCCCCTCTTCTGGGAGTTCCCTGCGCCAGACAGACTCCCACCGACCGGCAGCAACTGCTCTCACGACTTCCCCAGTCTTCCTCTACCCAGGTTGTACACAACATACCGAGATCGTGCAGCGCTGTCCTCGCTTCCGAGCTCCCATCTCCAGTCTGGAGCCCGTGTCTCCCCCGAACGGGAGGAGCTGAGCCTGGAAGCCCCTGGCCGCCTGGATATCACCACTTCCGAGGACCAGCACGAGCAGCCATGCACTTTCTATTGCATTATTTACATATCTTGGCACAGATGTCACGTTTTGTCATCTCTAACACTTGCATAATTGACCTGTATTAGAATGTATCCGTGGCTGGCTTGTCTGGCCTCCAGTCCTGACATACGATTTTCCTGGAGGGCACAGCCGGGAGTTTATTCGGCCGATGAACACTTTCTCAATACAGGGAGAGAGCGCAGCCAGGCTCAGGACAGGCGCACGGCCAGCAGCCTGCAGGAGTGTCTCCTCTCTCCTCCCTTCTCTTCTGTCTTTCCTTTTTTCCTCTTTCTTAGTGCATTAGGAATTGAACTCAGGGCCTTTGCAGTGAGCTACATCCTTACACCCCCAGCCTTTTAACAAAATCTGACACAAAGTCTCTCTAAACTGCCCAGGCTGGGTTGGAACACGCAACCCTCCTGCCTCAGCGTCCCCGGATATCGGGGTCACAGGTCTGCACCATCAGGACCGGCGTGTTTTGGGGGTGAAAGCGAGAGCTGAGGACGCGTGCCAGACAGAAGCACACATGCTGTCCTGGGCAGGGACGGGGTCAGGGCGGCTGACACCCCAGCCCGAGCCCCGAGCCCGAGCCGGCTGTGGGGCGGGGCCTGCAGGTGGGGCCGGGCCGGGCCGCCTCGGAGGAGCGAGTCTCCTCCGGTAATTAGCCCGAGCCTAGCCCTCGCCCTCGCGGTGTTGAAGTCCCTCTTCCTGCCGGTCCGCTGGAAGCACTGCTGTGCATGGCCCCTCTGAGTCCCAGAAGGAAACCAGACGCCTGCCCCGCCCGAGGCCTGCAGTCCCCGGGGGGCCCCTAGCGTACCCGGAAGGCGGCGGCCCGCGACTCGCGGGCCGGGGCGTCAGCGTCGCTGCGGCCCAGGCAGCAGCACAGCAGCCAGAGCCAGCGCCAGCGCGCGCTCCTCTGCATCCTGCCGCGCCCTCCCTCCGCGGCCCGCGGCCCTCTCCCGCTCTCCGCCGGGCCACCCGGAGTTTCCGCGCGAGCCTGCGCGCTCGGGTTTCCGGTTTCGCTTTGCACCCGCTGGCGAGCAGCCGAGGCCGGACCCCGACGTACGCCGCCGGGCCAGAGGGCGCTCTTGTCCTGCAGAACTGGGCCCTGCTTTGCTTCCGTTCCCTGGAGAACGGGCGGTGGGGCCTCGCGGTTTCGCTCCCCGCCCCGTGCAAGCGCCCACACGCGTGTGCACACGCGCCCCCCACCCGAGCTGGGGCCGCCGTGCTGCGGAGGAGGCTGCGGGGCGGGGCTCCACTCCTGCTCTGCGGGGTGCGGCCCAGCAGCTGCAGGGGCCTGGCGCGGAGGCCGCCAGGAAAGCACCGCTCACTTTGCCGCCTTCCTGCTCGGCTCTTCATAGCCAGCCTCACGCTCCCTTCTCCTGGGTTTCACTGTTACATGATTTTATCATTATTCATTATATTTATTACTTTTTCTCTTTTCCAACCGGGTCACGTCATTCACCCATGCTGGGGTGGAGACAGCAAAAGCAAAGCTGCAGATGAGTGGGCGTGTTCCCGCCACACCGCAGGTTAGGGATTTGTCCTGGACTGGAGGCCCTGGCCTAGGGCTCGGTGACTCACACGTGCGTCCGTCTGTCGTCTGTCTGCAGTCTCCGGTCGGGGACAGTGGGAGGCGGGGGACTGGGCCTCTCTCTCCCGAGCCAGCCAGGCTGCTTATGCTTCGCTCTGCTGCACACCCCTGCCGCCAAAGGTCCAAGGGAATGCGGCGGCCCAGGGTTGGAGCCAAATAAACCATTCTTCTTAGTGAATTAATTGTCTCGGGTGTTTTGCTACAGAGGCAGAAAGCTGGCTGATACAGCTGGGCCAACAGTCTCGGAAAGCTCTGCTTACAGCTCTGAGCCGACAGCCTACACAGGGGTGGCCATTGGGGAGCAGTGTTGTCCCCTCCGGCCCCAGGTGCAAGACCAAAGTAGAGAGCCCTTGTTTGGGGAGGATTGAAAGATTTAAGAGGACAGAGAACGTTCACCAACGCCAGGCCCCTTGGGCACCTGCTCCTGCACGGTCGCACAGACACGAAGCTGGTCCTCCCGGGCCTCCCCACTTAGGACTATCTGATCATCTACTTTGGACAAGGCTTCCACGCTCGCCGACCGTTGGTGCAGTGGCTTTGGGTCTTTAAGACCAACATGTGCAGTGTATCTTTAGCTTTTGCCACACAGGCTGAGTGACAGGATTCTCTGGTCGCAGAACGGGTAATAAAAAGCATGTACACCTGCTGTGGGTAGCAATAGCAAAGGCACGGGAGTTGGCTTGTTTACATCCCTGATGAGTGGTAAGGTATGCTGCTCTTGGAAGACGTAGTGATAAATATTCAATTAGAGGGTAAGTCCGAAGATCAATGTTCACACTGAACTCACAGCTCTTCTGCTCCTGCCCTTTTCTTACAACTCACTCGAGCCCATACAGATCCTATTGTTTATAAAAACTGAGCCCATAGATCCCACATTGACAGTCCTCTGAATTAGGAAATTCAAATGAATGCAGTCATTCTTTCCTGGGAGAATTGATATTGTAAAATAAATTCCATTTGAAACAAGCTTACTTGAGAAGGTTGCACCTGTAAATGTTTACTGAGCACTTACTAAGTGTCAGGCACTGCTAAGAGAAAGATCTCTGCCCTTATGGAGCTGCCTTCCAGGGAGAAGCCATGTGGTGGTTATTGGGAATTTTAAGGGGCAATAAAACAGAATGACAGTCAGGAGTGGGGGTGTTGCCATTCAAAGAAAATCCTTCCTAATGAGGAGACTTAGAGCAAAGACCTAAGGAGGAGAAAGCTAGGTTTGGTAGCACACACCTGTAACCCCACGTGGGGATTGAGGAGGCCAAGGCAGAAGGATCTCAAGTTCTAGGCCAGCCTGGGCAACTTAGCAACTTAGGAAAACCCAGTCTCGAAATTAAAAAATGAAAAAGCCTGGGGAGAGAATGCGAAGGCCCTGGGCTTGATCCCCAGTATCTGAGAAAAAGAAGGTGGAGGAGGGTGAGCCACTGGGTATTCAGGTCTCTGGGCAGAGAAGCTGAGCTCGAGGAATAGTCACGGCATAGGAAGTATGTTCGGCCTGTTCCGGAAAGAGAAGGAGTGGGTGTGGATGGTACGGGGAGAAACACACAGTGCAGCCTTAGGTCATTTAAGAGGGAGATTAAAATGATCTATTAAAGGTAAACAAAACAACTTCTAAGTGGGTTGAAAGGCTTTAACCTGGAGAAGTAGAAGTGACAAAATCTGTAGTATGTGATACCTTGTAGGAGGATGGAAAATGTCAGTTATTGCCAGACGGTGCGTGGTGCTTTCTTCAGCCTTGTATTAGTTATCCATTGTTGCATAAAAACCTAAGTCCAGAATTCAGTGGGTTTCAAATACTGATTTTTAAGTGACCTGGTTCTATGGGAAGGGTGTCTGAGAAAGCTCAGTGCTGGCTCAAGTCTCCCCTATGAGCACACAAGCTGTTGAATGTGGCCGCAGTTTCCTGAAGATTTCTCAGAGCTGGAAGGTTTGGTTTCCAGCTGTGTGGGCAGCAGTGAGGCCCTGAGACGGGTCCAGGCTCTGGGTTAGGATGAGCACAGCCTTGCAGATGTGCACCCTGTGCAGAAGACAGGCAGCCACAATCACTGACGATCACAGGAAGATGTGCTCAGGGAGTCTGTGCCGACCAACGTGGCACCAGCCCACAAGTGGTGCCGCGACGCAGGGAAGTAAAGAGCACAGCACACAGATAAATCAGGCTTCCAGATTTTCAAGGCTGCACACCCCAGCCCAGGGGCTTCCCTCTGGACTTCCAGGTGAGACAGACAGGAATGAGTGGCAGGATGCTGAGTCACCAGGGGCTCTGAGCATGCGTGGCCCAGAATCCACTCTGATTAGATCACACGAGTGAGATGCCCTGGGTATTTAGGAGCCTCGAGGAGGGTTTGAGTGGAAAATGTCACTGAAGGAGGAGGTGAGCCACTCCCAGTGCACAAGAGGAGGCTTCTGGGCCGCTGTACCACCCCTGCCAGCACAGAAGAGGTGAGTCACCCAGGTGCCAGCAGCACCCCCCCCCTTCAAAATGGGAAGACACGTAAACAAGTCTGAAAACCAGACTTCCAGATGCCTACAGCAAACCCAAAGGAAAACAAGGAGGAACACTCTGATACTCAACCACCTCGACTCCCTGAACTGGCAACAAAAGAGGATCTGGAAAAAATGAAATCAGAAATAATTACTCAGATAACAGCAAAGATTTTGCTCATGGTGCAAGACATGATTAATAAATCTAGAGAGGACACAGATGAAAAAATAGAGGAGCTGAGGAACATGATGGAATTCCAACATAGGAAACAAATGGAATCCATAAAACAGATGCAAACAGATTTCTAGGAGATTAAAAACTCCATTGAAAGCCTATGAAACAGAATGAGCCAATGTGAAGACAGAATTTCAGATATAGAAGATAAGATTGCAATTAGTGACCAGGAAAAGAAAACTTGCTTTAAAATAGTAAGGGAACACGAGAAATCAATCCAGCAGCTGTTAGATGATGCAAAGAAGAATAACATAAGACTGAATGGAGTCAATGAAGAAGCAGGAGAGAGGGCAGATGACATAAAAAAACTCACTCACAGAGTGATGGCAGAAAACTTCCGAAGCAGGGGAAAAGAACTTGACATACAGATATAGGACTCCAACTACCCTTGATCAAAAAAAATCTACACATAGGCATATAATTGACAAGATTCCAAAAGCCCAACAGAAGAACAAAGTTCTACAAGCAGTTAGAGAAAAGAAACAAATCATATACAAAAGAAAGCCCATCAGAATGACAGTGGACTTCTCAATGCAAACTCTCAAGACAAGAAGAGCTCAGAGTGATGTATTTTAAGCCCTAAAAGAAAACAACCTCCAACCCAGATTGATGTACCCTGCAAAACTATCTTTCAAAATTGATGGAAAATAAGATACCTTCGTGACAAAGAGCACCTTAGGAACTTCATGAATACCAAACCGGCACTCCAAAAAATTTTAGACAATA